ACTTAGCAGATAATAAGATGTTGATATCATTTTTTCTACAAATTGCAAGCATTTGTCATTGAAAGCATTGTATTATTGGAAGTCATTGCTGTTATAGCTCAAGTATGCTCCTAGAAAGTACCAGGATGTGTGAACTTTGAGGTCATGTGTACCAGTAATTGATGGTAAATTGTATGCTCGCTGTTGAAGAATACATGTATATGCAAATTATATTGGTTTTGGTTGAATTTAACATTGTTTGACATTTACACAAAAAGAAGTAGCAACATTAAATTAAAAAAAATTATTTTTCTGCCAAATAAGATGAATCTTATGGAATATATATTTACAGTACTTTGCTTAAAGGGCGGTAGTCGTTCGCCACGTATGCACGAGATATATAAGGAGTCACCGGCGGTATTCAGTGCAAGTCGCGCCGCATACTTGTGATTTCCATTTGATGAGCACATTGGATTGTGGAAAAATCGCGCTTTAAGTTATTAAACACTGTAGTGAGACTTGCAGCAGACTTCACACTATAGTCTTTCATATTTCATTCCACATCCACAGGATATAAATAATAATAATTATAGTTTTCATACTGAAATTTATAGCAATTTGTTCATTTCTGGTCCAGAAATGCTTGAAAAAATTGTGTGATAATTCTTTTTTTGGTCTTGACTGGATTAAACGTGGATTGAGCCATGGAATTTGCTGGAATATGTCTGTTTGGATCGTGTCAATGTTAGTTTTGCAGAGAGTTGCAAATAGACATGTACTTCAGAAGAAATTAATTACCATACATAAACATGTTGTATGCAGACCATATGTAATTGATAACATTCCCATTGGGAAGTACATAATAGATCACATAATATCAATTATAAATGTGACATATGAATACTGTAAATAATTCATTTTTTCTCTGCTAGGAATTTTGAAGATTTCAAGATTTTATGGCATTTGTATAGACTTGAAAATCTCTGACACCAGACACGAGAGAATTTTTCTCTGCTATAAAATTTTGCGAATTTTATCTCACAAAAAATAATGCAATTTACAGCACTTTATTTTAGGTAGAATATTTTTGACGCTGATAGTATCGCTTACAGGGTGTGTAGGTAGTGTGCAGTAATCTTTGGACTGGATTGGAACGTGATATCAAAATTATTTTGGGGAGAAAAGTTAGATTGATAACATCATAATGTTGGAATTTCATATTAGGGGGTTGAATTGCTAGAGGAAAATAAAAAAATTATTGTTTGAACCAAAATTAGATGGTCCATTTAATAATACTAAAAGTATTTACAGCACTACTGTGGAATACTTTATTTTCGCTGGAATAAATTTTCGCTGAAAAGGCGTGAAATATAGGAAAAAACGTATATTCGCTGGATTTTATTTTCACGGAAACATCCCTTCAGCGAAAATAGCGAAAATAAATTCCAAGCGAAAATAAAGTATTCTACAGTATTAGCTGTTCAATTTTTGACGGTGTTCATGATATTCAGTGTTTGTGACTGCCAATGATGTTTCCACTGTTTTTTTGCAATTTTGTACATATTTGTCTCATGTATAATTAAAGTTGCATTTCATTTTGTAAATCTGTGAGGTACAACCCACGTGGATACATAACGGAGAAATTAATTACACAGTATCATTTAGACAGATCGCTTATCCTCGGGGGCAGAGCTACGTCACAAGACGTTCCACGTTGCTACGACGCGCACCACTGTACATGCATTTCTATGGGCTCTGTGCGCGCGCTGCTGTGGAACGCCGGTGGAGTCGGTGAAAACTCGAGAAAACAACACAAACTCAACTTTGAAGTAATCCTGAACAACCAAATTCATATATGTTACACACGTAGGGCTAATCTTGTTACACTGTTCAGGGGACTCTCAACAACCATCGAAAAGTACTGTTTTCTGCGAGTTTTTGATCTTTTTTTTCACCGCGAGGGTTGCCAGGCGGTAGAAAATGCCCGGATGTCCGCCCCCGAGGATAACCGAGTTTCCTGCACATGGACGGGAAATAATATATATATGAAATATAAGGGTTCTGGATCTATTTACAGATTATATAATCTGAAGGGAAAAGTGCTCAATAATAATTTATGACTTGTTTGCTAAGCCACAGAGGGATACTAAGTTGGTAAAACGATGATTTATACACCATCCTATCCATTTTTATAGTATTATTAAAATTCTCGTCCTGGGTTTCCAATTAAAAACATGGAAACCATCTATTTTAAATTCTGTTGCAAGTAACTCACGAGTCCCTGTAGTATTGAACCCAGCTGCAATTGTCACAATAATGATATAGAAAAATAATTTATGCAAATTATCAACATGATTTATTAATAAACGATGTGACGATAGCAATTAATATACATGTTTCTTCTCTGAGTCATTATTAATTAACACGTATTAAGCAGTTTGTAATGCAATGCCAACTTTACCGACAAAATAAAACTATTTCGTATTTTTTATATTCTGTGTTCTGCAGTGATCATACCAGGGTAGGTACTTTGTCTTAAAATATTTCAGTTTATCTCAAAAATTGAAATTTAAAGTTTATACCGGTAATGCACATAATGTGTTCTGTATATGCATTTATTTGTGCTGGTATTTTACTTTGTTATTTTGCAATATTCACTTACATTTGTAATTTTATTAGTTTTATTAAATTCATGATCTTTACAATGAAACAATGAGTTCTGTCAATTCACATCTTTATAGCATGGATTCAACCATTTGAGCGCATTGTCTGCTTTCGACAACATCTACAAAATGATTTTGTACAGTCTCCTTCCTTTATAAAATGTTGATAAAAATTGACAAATCTTTTCACCACCAGACTTTCTTTTTCTGCATTTTTTCTTATATTTTTTCAATATTTCTGGAAATGAACCCTAATTTTGTAGCCAACAGACAAAATTTGAGTCAATTTTCGGTTTTTACTCCAAAATTTGGGCTATTTTTGTCTTCTGATGGAAAGTGCAGACTATAAACGAGACTATTTTGTGAATTTGTGATGAAAAGACGGAACTGGTGGTAAAAAGGTTTAACACTAAAAAAAATATGAGACTGTCTATATGGTCTAAAATGATAATAAAATTTAGTGACAATTTTATAAAATAATGCATTGAATTTTGGGCGAGGAAAAATATCTGACATATTTCGCTTTTCAAGAAATATACATATTTTGATATTTTTACGATATTCAGGTTTTATTCACAATCCTTAAAATGAAACAAGTTTTATTATTAATTTACTTGTTTAAAGCATGGAATTAATAATCAAATTCAGCAAACAAACTTAAATTATGAAGCACAGTGAATAATTTTATAAAAAACATTCTACAAGTTGAAAAAAATTGGAGTAAAGACGCACCAAATTAACATCTAAGCAGGTAATCCCATTAGTTTATTTCTTTACTCTGGTTATATTTAGAGAAGTGGAATGAGGGTTATTAGTCATAGTATTTTTTTTTTACTGTTGTTCTATGCATTTGTCACCTTTGTTATTGTTCTTCTCTGTACATGTCACTGTCACTAATTCACAGGTATAGTTCCTCCCATCCACACGTTTTGATAGTGACACCACACATCCCCATCCACACATGTAACCTTTTGAATGCCAAAGTTCACTTTTGTCTCGTGTTACAAACTAAACATTTTTTTGAGCAATTAAAACAAAACAATTAACCAGTGAAAAATAATGTCATTTTATCCAAATTTATTTAAAAAAATTAAAAAAAAAAATTATGTAAAATAGTGTTGGACCAACATTTTGGTTGGGTAAAGTTATAGTGTTTAGCGGGTTACTGCAAAATACCATAATTTAAAATACTTTATTATCACTATTTTCAATGGAAGGGTGATTCAGTGAAATTAAAATCCTGCAAATATACCTTTTCCTGTATTTTACATTGAAAATAAA